GGAAAGAAAGAAAAGCAAAAGTAAAAACAAAACCCCAACAGTTACAGCATTAGAATATTTAGGCATGTGGTATGTGGGCCTCCATTTGCACTCTTACACTCTTGAGCTCTGTAAATATCCGGGGAACAGCAGTGGTATGGGATGTATTTACTCTCTAACATTGCCACATTTACTAATTCAAGTATAAGTAATTGTAAAGCAATAGCTTCCTTTTCTTTTTCTTTTTCAATGAAGTGTTTCCACAACTGTATTTTCATATGTTACGTCAAAGAAGAAAGGTGCTTCATGGAGAGGTGATTGTAGAAAAGGATGATTAAATGATCTCTGCAAACAAGGTGCTTTTTCCAGAATAACCAAGATTACCTGAGTCCAAGTTTCAGTAACAAGAATACACAACTTTGTGAAATATCATGGATTGTATGGTTTCTTAAAATATAACTCGAGATGTGGCATTTGCCAGTATTTGTGTTCTTCTTTTGCCAGATCTATTTTGTACAAGAACTGTGCAAATATCAGTAACTCTTGGGAAGGTATTGATTATTAAGAAAATAATTAGGTGTATTATCTGGGGGAAAAAAAAAAACTTTTACTAAATTTTTTTGAAACATGCTCAAAGCTTTTTAAATCAATATTTAGAAATTAGTTTAATGATTTACTGTTATACGTGCCAGTGATATTTATGTGATATTTATAAATGAAAATAAATGCAAAATTATAACAACTTGTTAATAATGTATTGGTATTTTCGAACCCCTAATCTATTTTTTCAGGAAATAAGGCAGTGTTATGATTAATAACAATGTTTGGAAGCGTGGATATAATTTGCTAAAGTAAGAGTGTTGATGTAGATAAAGTAGCAGCATAAAAACACACATATATTCAAGTAGGTGTCATAGTTGGAAAATATTGTTTGGAAATATTTCTAGGCAGTTGAAATTACTTATACTGCTAAGGAAATCTATTCTTCATTTAAATTAGACACTTAAGGATAAGTTTTTCAACTGTGAAGGTTTTAAGGAGCTAGGAAGAGCATAAGTATTTGCCCCACTGTTAAAAAAACAACATGACATCTGACTATAATGTTGTATTCAGGCTGAGAGTGGTAGCTCACACCTGTAATCCCAGCATTGGAAGGTTGAGGCAGGAGGATCGTTTGAGCCCAGGAGTTCAAGACCAGCCTGGGCAATATAGCAAGACCCCATCCCTAAAAAAGATACAAAAAAAAAAAAAATTAACCAGGCATGGTGGCACATGCCTGTAGTTCCAGCTACTTGGGAGGCTGAGGTGGGAGGATCACTTGAGCCCAGGAATTCGAGGTTACAGTGAGCTATGATGGTACCACTGTACTTAAACCTGGGTGACAGAGCAAGACCCTGTCTCTGAAAAAATAGTGATGATGATGGTGATAATGATGAAGATGATGATGCTGTACTCAGAACTTTGGTTGAGAAAGTCTCTATACTGTAGAATTATCTCGTTAACAATTGTTATGATAATCCCTTTGTGGTACTTATGTAACTAAACATTTTGGGGTATGATCGTTAGACAGACTCATTTTATTCTGAATTCCATTGAATAGCAAAAAGTCTTGTAATAAAGTTCCCGTCCTTGTGTTTAATAAAAAAGAAACACCAGAGCTACTTTCATACTGCCTTAATCTGTAAGTAGGTCCTTCAAAAAATTTCCCTCCTTTATTCAAGTATGTTGATTTACTAACCCAGTTTTTGAGAGAATATTAAATATGTGACTTAAAAAGACAAGGAACTTTTTTCCCCCACTATAGATATCTAGGTGTAATTTTGGCTTTGAATGTTCTGTATTGTTTCCATTTATAATCAACATATAACATTACACTTTTTAAAATGACTTGATTTTGTGTTACCACCTCCTTTACAGATTATTTTCACATAGAGATTTGCAGTTCAGAACATTTTTGCAAACTTTTACTTTAAATAACTTGGTTTTTCCAAGGTGCTATTTATTTTATTACATTACATTGTAATGTTTCCTCTGCAGCTGAATGTTTCATTGAGCAATTAGGTTACTAGTTCTCAAAAGTCCTAACATTCATTCTGCTCTTATTCTATTTGATCAGTTTCATGTTGGATTTTTATATGGAAGAAATTGTCAGGGAGTCTTTTTACCTTTGATTACATGGTATGAGAATTTCACATATTTTATTAGATGCCTGTCTTGCAAAAAATATTTTAAATCATATTTCTAAAATTTGCATTAATTCAACTAGTACTGCCTTCAAGTGGCTGTATTACTCTTTTTCTTCTTACGTTGTGGAATATCTTGAGGTAGGAATTGTGATTAACTTTAATAAAAATCAGAGTGTGTTAAACTATTTGGTGACCCTTTAACATATGCAAAGTACACCTAAACTTCAGATTTCGTTTATTTTCTATATTCAACCAATTGTAAACAGTTATTTGTTTGGAAAATGAAGTGCTAAACAGTAGTTTGATTTTAAAAGGAAAAAATATTTGAAATGCCTTTACACTTACGTTGACAGAAAAGAGTCAAACTCTGTAAAATATTTGAAGAGATTTATTCTGAGCCAAATATAAGTGACCATGGCCCATGACACAGCCCTCAGGGGGTCCTGAAAACACACACATGTGTCCAAGGTGGTTGGGGTGCAGGTTGGTTTTATACATTTTAGGGAGGCATGAGACATCAGTCAGATACATTTAAGAAACACATTGGTTTGGTCCAAAAAGGCAGGACAACTGGGGGTGGAGGGTTTCAGCTTGTAGGTAGATTTTAAAATTTTCTGGCTGACAATTGGTTGAGTTTATCCAAAAACCTGGGATCAACAGAAAGGAATGTCTGGGTTGCAATAAGAGGTTGTGGAGACTCGGGAGTTCGAGACTAGCCTGGCCAACATGGTGATGTAGCAGGACAAGCTGCAGACAAAACCCCTCAGACACCGAGTTGTAGAAGGAAAGGGTTTTATTTGGCCGGGAGCTTTGGCAAGACTCAGGTCTCCAAAAACCGAGCTCCCCGAATGAGCAATTCCTGTCCCTTTTAAGGGCTTACAACTCTAAGGGAGTCTGCGTGAGAGGGTTGTGATCGAATGAGCAAGCAGGGGGTACATGACTGGGGGCTGCATTCACTGGTAATCAGAACAGAACAGGACAGGGATTTTCACAGTGCTTTTCCATACAATGTCTGGAATCTATAGATAACATAATTGGTTAGGTCAGGGGTCATTTTTAACCAGGCTCAGGGTGCGTTGCCAGGCTGTCTGCCTGTGGATTTCATTTCTGCCTTTTAGTTTTTACTTCTTCTTTCTTTGGAGGCAGAAATTGGGCATAAGACAATATGAGGGGTGGTCTCCTCCCTTAGTGAAACCCCATCTCTACTAAAAATGCAAGAATTATCCGGGTGTGGTGGCGCACCCCTGTCATCCCAACTATTTGGGAGGCTGAGGTGGGAGAATTGCTTGAACCCCGGAGATGGAGGTTGCAGTGAGCTGAGAACGTGCCACTACACTCCAGCCTGGGCGAGAGTGAGACCCCATCTCAGAAAAAAAAAAAAAAGAAGTTGCAGAGACCAAAGTTGTATTATGCACATGAAGCCACCAGGTAGCAGGCTTCAGAGAGAATAGTTGTAAAATGTTTCAGACTGAAAGTCTGTGTTGATTTTAATGCTGGAGATTATAATCAGGCATGTCTGACCCCCACTTCCTGTCATGGCCTGAACCAGTCTCTCAGGTTACATTTTAAAAGAGCCGGAGCTGAGGAGGAAGTCCATTCAGATGATTGCGGGTGGGGGCGGACGAGGTGCTTTTATTTTTGGTTTACATCATGTTCTGTGACTGCATTTTCTTTTGAGTTTCTCCGTAAATCACCATAACTTTCCATAGCCAAGTCAGGGCTTGTATCAGATAGAACTTTAGAATACAGTCCTGTAGACTTTGGCATTTGAAACACAGATCAAGAAATTTTGATGCTAGCAACTTTCAATTATATTTGGTGACAATTCCTTGATATTCGGATTGTTTTTTGATTTTCATAGCTTTATAGCTTGCTATATTATACAATATGCAAGTTTTAAAAAATATTTTTCAAAGTGTTAATTTGATATGAATATAGCAACATCCTTGATAGTTTTAGCTTTTTAAAAAAGCATGCTAGAAATATAAGAAAGTCATTTTCACCAAGAGATTTTGTTGCTTGACATCGACAGATTTTCAGAAGCATTATTTTCTCATCTTTATATTTTTAAGCATCTAATTATTATGCTGCTATGTCATAGTTTCTAGTGATATATTGCTAATGATCTAAATTTTGCAATAATCCCTTTTCCTCCTCAGAAATACTTGTCTCATGCCCAAATACGTGTCTCATGCCCACTGTGTGTCAGGCCCTGTTGTAGGGAATTAACATCTTCCTCTAATCTTCTCTCTCTCTCCCCTACACAGTAAACCTTTAGCAAAATTACTGGGTTAGATCGATTAGTAAATCATATTGCAAAATAGTTATCTGTGCTTTAACAAAATACAGCGTGTGGGTAATCTGATGTGATGGGTTCTTTGTTACTTATATGTGTATAATAAGCATATTCAGGCACCACTAAATAGACAGAATTCTGGCCTAAAACTACTTCATAACAAAATTAGTTATAGTTGATAAGACCAATACAATAAATCATTAAGCGATCCCTGAAGGAAAAAAATAACTGTAAAAGGCAACATTTAAAATATTTTTCATATGAATATGGGACGTATAGAGGTATTTACCTTTCATATACATTTAGATTTGGATTAAACATATAATTGATAGAATAAAAAATAAGCAATGCAGGTTTGTGATTTCCAGTATGAAGGCATTGAATAGAACTTAAAATTCAATTTGTTTATGGTTTTAGTCTAAATTTATAAAATATTTAAATGGACATAGGTCTCTCCTTTAGATATGAAGCTTAAAAATATATTCTAAACATTTTAGATTTTTTTTTGTGTGTTCCTGTTATAGCTTTTAAAATATTTTGGGCATTTTTTATTTTGAAATAATTTCAAAGTTACAGGAAAGTTGTTAAGAATAGTAGGAAAAGCCCCTCTAAATCCTTCACTTGAATTGCCCACTTGTTAATATTTTGTCCCATTTGCTGTAGTTTTCTCTCTCTCTGTTCATAATATTTTGTGAACCATTTGAGAATAAGTTGAAACATTAACCCCTAATTTCTTCAGTGCCTATTTCCTAAGAACAAGGACATCGTGCTACCTTGCCACTGTACCATAACCTAAATCAGGAAATCAACATTGATACTGTTATTAGAAAAACTTCAGCCAAATTAAATTGAAAGGAGGTTAATTGAGCAATGAACGATTCGTGAATCGGGCAGCCCCCAGAATCAGCAGATTCAGACAGACTCCAGGGATGCCCTGTGGTCAGAACAAATTTATAGACAAAAAAAAGGGAAGTGATATACAGAAACCGGCAGTGAGGTACAGAAATAGCTGGATTGGTTACATATGGGCATTTGTCTTATTTGAACACAGTCTGAACACTTAGCAGTCTGTGAGTGGTTGAAGTACGTCCGCTGGGATTGGCCAAGACTCGGCTGTTGTTACAGGTGCATTCTCCTAGTTAGGTTATCAATCTTGTCTGCCTATTAAGCTAGGTTACAGTTCGTCCACAAGGACTCAAATATAGAAGTACAGAGTGCTTCTCAGGCCGTATTTAGTATAATAATGCAATTCCTTTGTCT